CTGAAGGACATTTTGCTAGAGACTGTAGGAAGAAGAAAAGGGATAAACAAGGTGATAACAAGGCTAATCCTAACCCTACTTCTAACACAGAATCTGCAAATGTTTTTCAACATGAATTGCTTGTTTGTTCTGGATCTTCTTTGAATGATGAATGGATTTTAGACTCTGGGTGTACATTACATGCAACTCCTAACAAGGCCTACTTCTCCTCCCTGACTCTTCATGATGGGGGAAAGGTCATGTTAGGAGACAATACTGCCCTTGATATCAAAGGTGTGGGTAGTGTTCCGCTGAGGATGTTTGATGGGGTTGTAAGGATTATCCAAAATGTTAGATGGGTTCCCTTCTTAAGAAGGAACCTCCTATCTGAATCTGTTTTTGATGATCTGGGTTGCACTATTAATACACAGGATGGTTATAAGGTGGTTTCCAGAAATGGAAATGACCTTATTAAAGCTAATAAAAGTGGGGGACTTTACTTAGTTAATTGCTCCCTTGAACTTAACTTAGCTGCTTCTGTTAATAATAGCACAACCCAAAAGCAAACTGAAATTTGGCATAACAGATTGGGTCATATTGGGAATGTGGGTTTGAATAAGCTATTTAAAACTGGTTTTTTAGACTTTAAACCTGAAAACCTTGTTTTTTGTGAAAACTGTGTTTTTGGCAAGAAAACTAGGCATCCTTTTGAACAATCATCTTATGTTGCTTCTGCTCCCTTGGAATTGGTTCATTCTGATTTATGGGGACCTTCTAAAGTGAGTACAACTGGAGGTAGGAAATATTTTCTATCTCTAGTTGATCACTTTTCAAGGAAGGTGTGGGTTTTCTTGTTAAAAACTAAGGATGAAACTTTTGAGAACTTTAAAAACTGGAAAATATTGGTTGAGTCTCAATCCAATTTTAAACTGAAAGCTTTGAAAACTGATAATGGTCTTGAGTTCTGTAACAATGAATTCAATGTCTTTTGCAAAAATGAAGGGATTAAAAGGTTACTTACTGTCCCTGGTACTCCTCAGCAGAATGGCACTGCTGAAAGGATGAACAGAACCCTGCTTGAAAAGGCAAGGTGTATGCTCATCAGTTCAGGACTTTGTAATTCCCTGTGGGGTGAAGCAGTGGTTACTGCTTCTTACCTAATAAATAGATCCCCATCTTCTGTGATCAGTTTCAAAACTCCACAGGAAATGTGGTTTGGATTTAAACCCAACATTTCTCATTTGAGGCCTTTTGGGTGTGCAGCCTATGCCCATGTTTCTCAAGGTAAATTACAACCTAGAGCCTTAAAGTGTGTAATGTTAGGTTATCCTGAGGGAGTTAAAGGTTATAAGCTACTGGTTTTACAATCAGGGGCTTATAAGTGTATTGTATCCAGAGATGTTACTTTCAATGAATGTGATTTTCCTTTAAAAAGAACTGATACTGCCTTGTGTAAAACTGCAGATGTTTCTGATGGAAATTTCTTTGAATCTTTGGATGATGATGACTCTTTTTACAAAGAGGATGACAGTGGAACATTCCACAATACTGCAAATGATTATTCAGTATCTGAAACAGGCCAACAAGGTGACCTCAATGGAGGTGAACAGGTAGTAGTGAGCTCAGACTCACAAGGTAGTCTTTCTGGTTATCATAATCCTTGTACACATGATCTGACTGACACTGCTATGATAAATAATGTGCCTGATAATAATAATGAAACTGAAAATCATAATGCACCTAATTTAGCTGATTATCAATTGGTTAGAGACAGAGAACCTAGAACTATTATTCCTAATAAAAGATACTTCTCTAATCTAGCTGAGTTTGTTCTGATTGCTGCTGAGGTGGTTAAACAGTTGACCCCTGATAATTTTGAACAAGCTATGAACTGCTCTAAGTCTAATGAGTGGATGAAAGCCATGCAGGAAGAACTTCAATCCATGTTCTTTAATAAAACTTGGATTTTAGTTCCTAAACCTAAAAATGCCAAAATAATTCACTGTAGGTGGATTTTTAGGTTAAAAGATAGTCTTGACCCTACTGAACCTCCTAAGTTTAAAGCCAGGCTTGTAGCCAAAGGTTTTAGACAAAAGGAAGGAATTGATTATCAAGATATTTTTGCACGTGTTATAAAATTCAAAACCTTGAGATTAATGCTGGCTATAACCTCTGTATTTGACTGGGAGTTGGAGCAAATGGATGTTAAGACTGCTTTTTTGCATGGGGACTTAAAAGAAACAATCTTTATGTCTCAACCTCCTGGCTTTATTAATAAAGAGTTTCCTGAACATGTTTGTCTTCTTAAAAAGTCTATCTATGGACTTAAACAGTCTCCCAGACAATGGAATTTGAAGTTTGATTCCTGCATGAGTGAACTTGGTTTTTTAAGAAGTAAATATGATACTTGCTTGTATTATAAACATGTTGGAACTGAAAATGTTGTTTATATCCTGTTATATGTTGATGATATTCTCTTAATTGGTCCTTGTAAAATGCTGATTGTTAGTGTTAAGGATGATCTGAAACTGCATTTTGACATGAAGGATATTGGCTCTGCTAAGAGAATATTGGGTATTGACATTACTAGGGATAGACCTAATAGGAGCATGTTCTTGTCACAGGGTGATTATTTGACTAAAATCTTGGATATGTTTAATATGAATGAATCTAAATCCACCCCCTTACCCTTAGGAGGGCATTTAGAACTCTCTAGAGATCCCTATCCTATGACTTTAGAAGAATCTGAGAAAATGGCTAAGATTCCCTATGATGTTGCTTCTGGTTCTCTCATGTATGCCATGTTGTGTACTAGGCCTGATCTTGCTTTTGCTGTTAGCATACTTAGCAGATTTATGTCTGATCCTAGGACCAAACATTGGACTGCTATGAAATATACTCTGAGATATTTGTCTGGTACTAAGAATCTTGGTCTGAAATATTCCAATTCTGATTTGTGTGATCTGAAAGGTTTTGTTGATTCTGATTATGCTGGATGTAAAGATTCAAGAAAATCTACTACTTCCTGGTTCTTTACTTGGGCTGGTAACTGCATATCTTGGAAATCTCAACTGCAATCTGTAGTAGCTTTATCTACTACAGAGGCTGAGTATATTGCAGCCACTGAGGCTATCAAAGAGGCAAAATGGTTAAAAGGTATAGTGGGTGAAGTTCTGGGGACAAATGTTGTTCCTAGTGTCTTCTCTGATAGCCAAAGTGCCATATACTTGTGCAAAGACCCTATGTATCATGAAAAAACTAAGCACATAGATGTTAGATTTCATTACATTAGGGATGAGATTTCTAAAGGTAACATTAAAATTGATAAGATTACTGGAGATGTTAACCCTGCTGATTTTGGTACAAAAATTGTTCCCACTGCTAAGTTTTTGTTTTGCAGGCAGTTCTTCAAAATCTTTGAAGTACCTTGATCTTGAGGTTACTTGGTTGGGTTGATGATGAAAGGGTGTTATCTGGTTTCATGAATCCTAACACTAGCAATGATGATATCTGCTATTATGAGCTGTGCTAAACCGGAATTAGTCTTAGGAGGGCAAATTGTTATATTTGTAATCCTAATTCTAGTTATGTTATACTTGTTGTTTTAATACTTAGATAGGAAGGTAAAGCAAGGTTAGAAAGTAATTATATTTAATGGACTCTAATTGAATTATTCAATTGGACCATTAAATAGGTCTGGCCCGTTTCAGTTTTCATCCTATTTGGATTGGGCATGTTATCAGCCGAAGTATGCTCGGTTCTACTTTGGTCCAGCTCTTTCTCTCGCCTATAAATTGTCTCCATCCTTCTTCTGGAGACATCTATTACGCCATTCTGAACCCTAACACAGAACGATAAGAGAGAGAGAGCTTGCGAAGAGTTAACTTCTGGTTTTCTTCTTCTTCGTGATCTGAGATACACTGGTTTCCGGAATAAGCTGAGAAAGGCAAGAACTACACCGTGTGTTGAGACGTTGATCCAGTGCAGTTGATTCGAGACCAAGAATCTGATAACTCCTGGGTTTGGGTGTTTCGTCCGGTTATTTCTGTTCCTTTTCTTATTTTATTCGTTTGCTCGTATTTGTCTGATTCTAGTGTGTTAGATCTGTTACTTTTGTTCCTTGCTTTGCAACCATCTGTGTATTCAAACTTTTCTGAGCTAGTGGATTCTTGGGACCGGGTTTCCCCTGTTGAAACCCCGCAGAGTAGGATTTATCCGAACTGCGTCAACATATCGAGTGTTCTTTATTTTCTGCTTGATACTTGAATCCGGTATTTTGACTGTGACTATCTATATAGTCTGTGAACAAAAATAGTTGAATAAGACTTTCGGACAAAGTTATGTGCCTCGACTTGCGGAATCTCTATGTCAATACACTCGTCACATAAGTGTATTCCTCTTCACTCGTCAGCTACTCAGCGGCTCAGCCATTGCGACTTGCAAGCTTATGGAACAAGATGGACTGGTCTTAGTACATTACTCATTAGTCATTAGGGTTTGTTTGTTTGAATGTTGTGTAGTAGAAGCCTAGAAGGTTATAGTGGGTTTGGGAAATCGGGCCTTTATTTTTGTATTTTAGTATTTGTAACCAACATAAGTATTAATTTTGGGCTTCAAACTTGTAATGTATTTTTACAATATTTTAGAATTTATAGTAATCGATGGGTGGGAGTCGGTACGGTATTATACCGGTATACCGCGATATTTGAAAACATTTACCGTTATCGTACCGAAATATATCGGTACGGTATCATACCGTACCTAAAATGACGGTATACCAATATTCTGGTATTTTTCGGTACGATAAGTGCGGTATACCGATTTTCCGGTATTCTTGCCCACCCCTACTTGTAACATAGGCTATGAGCTCTAAATAATTTTCCCTAATACGGAGTATTTCATTAATTCATTTATCAAACAAGTCATTCGGTTTGCGTGTCCGGACTGCGGGAAGAATTGGTCACGCGTCTAACTTTATAGTGTATATTCGTGTACCCACTCTCCACGTTATAACCGCCCCCGCTTCCTATATAAGCTACATTTTCCCCTTCATCTTCTTCACACCTCCAAACCCTCGCCTCAGATCTATCTTCTCTGCCTTCTTGCTCTTTCTAAAAACATACGTAAGTGTTTCCCTTACACCCTACGACCAACGATTTCTTCATTTATTCTCTTCACCATCATCTTTCTCTGAATTATTCTGTTCATATTTCTCAAGCCGACCTTAGAAGGTATTGCGATGGCTGCGGTAGAAGTTCTTTATCCACAAGATCCTCTGCAGAATCGACCAAATCGTCGACACACCAGTTTTGTCAACGCTCATATGAAGCCCAAGAGGAATCCCTCATCTAACCCTAACCCTAATTCCAACCGTGGAACTGGGAAGTCGGATCGGCGGAAGCGCGGGCCCCAGAAGAACGGATCTACTGATTCTGGTAACAGCGGAGGTCTCAATCTCTCCAATTCTCCGCCGGTGAAGAAGGCGGCGATGAGTAACTTGATTATGGGTCAGGTGAAGATATTGAAACGTGGTGAGATATTGACTGATACGGCGTCGTTAGTAGTAGAGTCGAAGAAGTCCGAGATCGAGACTTTTGCTGATAGACCGGAGAAAGGCTTTGTGTTGTCAACCCTTAGCAGGCTCGGACCTGAGCCTGAGAGGATGCTGAAAGAGATCAAGATCGGTGACTTTTATGCTGGCTCATCCGTTACTTCTCCTCCGCCGCCTAGTTCTCTTCCTTTGCCTTCCTTTTTCACGAACAAAAACATCCCAGGACAAAGCAACGGTGATGCTACCAGTGATTTAAGGCGTCTTCTGAGGCTCAACATGTGTTGATTTTCATTGTGAAGATGGTTTCTGTAGATGGTTTATGGAGATCATTTGCACTTGCAGTGAAGATGAGGTGGTTCAGGTTGATGAAAGTTGGGTGATTGCATTTGTTTCGGGCAAAACTTCCCTTATTTTTTCAAGGGGAAGGCCGAATCAGAATTGAAATTCACTCAAGTCTCTCCATGAAAATTTCGCTCTCTACTTCTACATTATGAGTCGGAAGAAGGCTACTATTTATTGTACCCGTTTGGTTTGGTAAATTGTTCGAATTGAATTAATAGCTATCTGTAGTTGAAGTTAAGGTCTTTCTTAGTACTACGTATTATCTCAAGTGTTGGGTAAATGTTGGAATAATAAGTATGACTGACTTGTTGGTTGTATTTTAGGAGTTGTTGTCTTGTGTTGGGGATATGATGCCCTCCACAAAGTAGTTATGCATCGTTTATAATATCAATAAAGTTCTTATTTTTATACATCTGTGTACATATAGAAGCATGACGCACATGCACATACAATGATGTTGCCCTGGTCTTTACATATTGCTTGAGGTTCTTCAGCAGTGTATGAAATACATATGCTCTTGAATCATTCAGAGTTTTTTTGGAGAGCAGGAATCTTGCAGATGGATGCAAGGTATTGATGCAATGAGTGCTCCTTTCGTAGTTTCTTGTGATTAAAATTATGTTTGCTGAATCTGGGATTGCTTGTGAAGCAGCAATCTTAAAATGGGTTCCATGGATTGTATTCAGTGTGAAGATAAACTTGTTTATGGTGAAGGATTCCTTTGATTTGTGGCAAGCTTCCTTTATAAGGGCCAGGATGAATCAGAAACGCAATTACTTTGGAAGTGTCTTTTATTTATGCCAATTACGATGGTATTATTGTAATGAACCTGTTGAGGTGTAATGATACTTCTAAATATCAGTAACGGGCTTTACTTTGTAATTTAAGTTTTGATGTCTTAACTTTGTTGCTTTCATTAGTTGTAAGTTATGGTATTGCAGAGTACCTTATTGAGTCTTGGGTCAAAGTTGTAATACTTGAAACAGTGTAATATCCATTGCTTCCTTCCTAGAGGTTTCTATTTTCTGGATTATTGAGTCAATAGTCAATATTACATGCACAGTACAACAAGCACTAGTTGGTTGTTGAGACACTCCCTTCCCCAAAAAGAGATTTGTTTTGAACACATCTTGATGTTTTATTTATGTTGATGGTGATTGGTGAATTTAGATTCTTAGTATAATCTTGGGTTTATTTTGTGGTAGCAATATATGACAATAACCTACAAGTCAAAGAGCTAATACTTTTTCTCTAGTCTCTACGAACTGCAAAAACCTCAAATAGCCTAGATTTGTATAACCTGCGAGACTCCAAGTAGGAATTTCTTTTTATGAGTTATTTAATCGTGGTTACCTAGCTTAGCCCCCCGGTTGGGCAATACTTTTTCAACATTCACTTGGATTTACTTATTTATTAAAACAACATTTTTGTATGCTTTTTGGTTGACCCAAGTTCATCAAGTGTAACTATACCTAGATCCATCTGAAGTACTACGTTTATTAAAGTTCCTCTCTGTTTAAATGGATATAATCCATAACAGAGACAAACAACTTACGTAAAAGTTAGTTAAAAATATAAAAAAAATGATATTTGTTAAAGTTGGTTACATTTCAACAAATTTAATTAGATATATACTCATATTCTATTTTATTTATTTAATCAACTTGTACTAAAAAAATTCACGATCTAAGTGTTTCGTATATGTAATTTTGGACGGCCGCCTCATGTCTAGGGTTGGAGCGGCGATTTTAGATCGTCCGCATCTTTTTTCTTCGCACGGCAAACGCGGCTAGGACGGAGGCTTGCGACTTGGGAGTTTGTGACCTGAGCGAACGACATGGAGCAGAACGACAACGAAGTTGAAGCATTGGCCAACGCCTATGGACAGTTAGATATGGAGGAAGAAGTGGAGGTTCTCGTGGTGGCACCAATGGCTCAGCCTTCAACGAAACACAATCTGACCATGATGGGGATCATTACATCGGAAAAGTCGGTACGTTTTTCCCAATTTCGAGATATTACGGCATCTGTATGGAAACAAAAAAATGGTGTTTCCATAACTGAAATTGGTACTAGGAGATATGTTTTTCAATTTTACAATGAGGAGGATGTCACTAGGGTTGAGGAGGAAGGCCCGTGGCTGTTTGATCAGAACTTAATTGTTATGAGTAGGTTTAAGGAGGGAGATATCCCCATGTCTGTTCCATTTAATAAAGCATTTTTTTTTGTACAAGTTCATGATATCTCAGTGGGATTTTTCACTGTTGAGAATGCGGAATGCATTGGGAATTTTGTAGGAACTTTTATAAAAGCTGATGATAATAACTTTTCTAAGAAGTGGGAATCCTTTATGAGGATTCGTGTTTGTATTGATATGGGGAAATCTTTGAAAAGGAAATTGGTTTTGCAAAAGGAGGAAGGAATCACTTTACGTGTCAGGTTTTGCTATGAGAAGCTACCTAGCTTCTGTTTTCTGTGTGGAATAATAGGGCATGCAGAAAATCATTGCACAAGTAAACAACGGGGCTACGAAGTCTCTGGGGAAAAACCTTTTGGTCCTTGGCTTAGAGCCACAAAAGGGGCAAAACCGTGGAAAGAAAATAAATGACTTGTTCCAGTGGAAAGGAATCAGATCTGACAACAAGCCTACCAGTGGAAACAAAGAGGACAACAGGCGACCAAGTATTGGGGAGGGTGGGCTCTTATCACACGAGAGGGGACACATTGAGCTGAAACGAAGGCGTGTGGAGGATTCTGCAGAGTACCAGAACGAGGAAGATATGGAGATTGCTCAGAACGAAGGAAAAAACGGGGAGGAGGCGAGCTACAAATCTGTAGCTCACCAGGCACAGCAGTGAGGGACCCTAGTATGAAGCTTATGAAATTTAATAAGGCCGAGGGCCACGTGAACTTTATTTATTTTTGCTGCTTTTCCTTTTATGGTACTCTTGTTGTTTTTGTTTGTGTTTGGAACTCTAGTGGTAGGTTGAGGTTTACCTTCTCTTTTTTGCTTTGGGATACTATTGTTGGTGGAAGCGATAAAACTTGTTTTGCCGTTAAAAGCTTCGAAACTCTCACATGGTTCGCGAATAGTCTCGCTCTTTCGGGGGTGGTCTATTCTAAATCTAGCCAGAGTGTGTGGGGGGGGGGGGCTTTGGGCTATGCGGAGTCTCAAGAGGAGGTTTGGCGAGGTAGGGAAGATAGTACTTTTAGAGGTTTGTGTGAGAAGGTTGGGCATTGTAAGGGGGGAAGTATGTTGCGATCTTTGATTGCTTAATAAGGAGTAATATGGATACAAATGCTTGATAATTTACCCATAAGTCAAAATATTTTAATAAATTACGCATACGTCTGCGAAAATATTTTAATAAATTGATTGCATTCTACTTTTATATGAATTTTCTGATATAACAACAAACACAAGAAAAAATCCTTCCATTGGTACTCTGCATATTCTTTTTGCAATTTTCAGGATCCAAACACAAGCTTAATGTCTGGACGGTCTTGCACTTGTTTTGAATTTGGTAAAATCAGTGCTTATTAAGATCAGCAAGGTGAACAGAATGCGCTAAGAGCAGAGGCAGAACTCCTAAGTGGCCAAATCCCAACTCTCGTTTACAATCTCATGATGTTTATTAAATCCTACACCGAATGAATTGAATCCTCTCCAACAGAAGGTCTTCCGTAGGGGTGGACTCGGGCCGGGTGGCCCGATCCGGAACCGGCCCGGGACCGGTACTGTTCCGGCCCGGCCCGACCCGGTGGCCCGGTCAGTGACCGGTCCGGGTAGGCCTGGCCCGTGGGTTTTCCGGTCCGGGCTCGGGTCACCCAAAACAAGGCCCGACCCGGCCGGGCCCGGTTCGGGCCAAAACCTTTTTTTTTTCAATTTTTTTAAAATTTTCAGGTTGGGCTGGATATTTTGGGCCATTTGGGGTGGGAGGGGGTTAATTAGGAAGAGGAAAACAAAAAAAAATTATAATGGGCCCGGCCCGGACCAGACCCGGTGTTTACCCGGGCCGGTCCCGGGTCCACCATTTCTGAACCGCCGGCCCGCCCGGGCCTAGGCCCGACCCGGACCTAGGTCCGACCCGGACCCGGCTCGGACCCGAGTCCACCCCTAGTCTTCCGTTCAAGTCACTAAGAGTCTAAGAAGGTGAATTTGATAACGCGTTTCTGAATGATCTTTTAACTTCGGTCTAATTCGAGTAGTCGTGTAATCAATGTTTCGTCTCTTAAGTCGGATCACCCAATATTAAAAAAATAGAGAGATGTCATCATCATCATTACTCCAGTGCCGCAAAGGCTCTCACCTACATTGAGATAAGAAATAAGAAGGGTCAGATGTACGCAGTCTTACCTCCATACTAAAGCACAAAGGGATTGTTTCCGAATGATGCATAGTGATAATCGCATCGAAAATAACATGGAATGAGTGCTGCTTCATAACAAATAGAATGCCCTGACAAAAAATAGAGAGTTTTTAGCTCCATTGCAAATGATGGGAAAAAATAGAGATATGCCCCGACAATATCACTGTTGGATGATAATTTGACAAGTGGAGTGGATTACGGTAATTGCAATCTGACTTTTGCTTCAATAGAGCTGGAATCTTGAAACTTGAATGCAGCGTGTGGCAATGCACCGACTGTTCCCTGCACAGATGGTTAATAATAAAACGGGTGCTGCCGTGCTGGGCTTATTTACCTGTATTGTGTATAATTCTTCTTACAGCTCATTTCAAGGAATTTATTTGGAATAAAAGATTACACAATAATGGACTAGCTGAAGGATTTGCTTGAAATTTTGACCATTCTGTTAAAAATTGCTCTGGTCTAGGATTTAACTTTTGTTCAAGAAAGCTATTGACATGTTTGATCATTTAATAAAGAAAGCTAGTAGTTAATTATTATACGTCTTTGTAACTTTAAAGTAGTATAATTGAATAAATTAATATTTTGAGTACATTTACAAATTAGAACACATCATTAAAATATCTAAAAAGATCAATCTAATCAAATCATAAATTTTATGAGAATGTTTGATATATACATATTTATAGACTCGAAACTCTTCACACAAATTAATAACTTTTGTCTATTAAATTAGATAGACATCACTTTTGGTGCACACAATAACACATAGGGATGGATTCGGTTCGGGCCACCCGGCCCGTGACCCGGCCCGGCCCGGTACTGTGCGGGCCCGGGACCGGCCCGGTCGGGCGGTCCAGGACCGGATATGGACCCGAACCGGTGGGAAGGGGCGGGGCGGGCTCGGTGCTGGATTATTGTGACCCGGCCCGGCCGGGTCGGGCCCGGGTCCGGGTCCGGTCTAATTTAAAAAAAAAAAATTGGTTTGGGCTGCTAGCCGTTGGGGGT